AGATATACACTACCTAGAATAGAAAACATTACTGAATAAACTGCAGATATACACTACCTAGAATAGAAAACATTACTGAATAAACTGCAGATATACACTACCTAGAATAGAAAACATTACTGAATAAACTGCAGATATAGACTACCTAGAATAGAAACTCCCTTTGTTGTCCCACAATGGGTAAATTGTGGAGTTACATCAGCTAAAGATTACAGCTAAAGTGGTCACTCAGATGTGATCTTAAAAAGTTTATAAATAATAGAATAAGTGACAGTTAAAAAAAAAAAAATCCAATTTTATTTGTTAAGCGCTTAAAAACAACCACAGCTGACCAAAGTGCTTTAAAGAAGTAAAAACAAATAAAACACAAAACAGCTGCATTATCATAAAATATGAAACATAAATAATATAAAAAATAAACAAATATAATGAATGTGTTTATAGAGAATAATAATACAGATGAGCCAAAAGCGCTAAATTGATGATGGACATGTAATATACATGTATTGATGACGTCTTTAGGGTAATTACATATTATATATAATTTCAAGATTTTACATCAAGACTGGATTACAAGAACATTTCTGTTAATGCTGTAGTATTTTCCTATTTGCAAATTGTATTGTGCATGCATGATGCCATATACTTTAATACTGTGTCTGTGCATTAGCCTTTAAAATGTTTGAGTTGCTTTTTTTGTCAATATAACATACAATATATTTCAGCACATGCCTTTTTCAAATGAGAAATGTAACAAACACTTAAAAAACGACAGCATCATCTGCTTAATAAAGAATTACTTTGACAGTGAATTACTTTCTATTTACTCTATTTTCTAACGTTAGACCCAATGTCAATGGCTAACTCAATGTCTTCCAGTCAGTCTGAGATAGCCAGACTAATGTTAGTCTACATACTACACTATAGGATCCATCGGCGTATAGATGGATTTATTGCTTAGTTCGTCCACTGACGGTGAAATCACCTGTGGAACGTCTTCCAGCAGACAGAAAACTGCTGGTTTTTGCAGCCAAATGCTGAACATGGAGGCATTTTTATGACGCTTTCCATGGGACAGGTGCCATAAAACCGTGTGCCAATATGGCAGCCAGTGGCTTAACTTTTTTCGGGGCATCAGTCGTGTCTCACCATCAATATTTTATTTCTTCCAGCTTACAAGAGGTGATACTAAACATTATTTCATTTTTAACAAAAGGAATCCCTAAATTATATCCAAAGCAAATAATTTAATTGCATTCTATTTATTTCTGGATTAAGAGCCCGATAAAAAGGTGCATAGATCTTTGAATATTTCTCTCTCATTGTTCTCGTTTTGATCTATTTAAATAGGATGTAAATGTTTCCTTGTATTGTCATTAAAACATTTTCTCAGCTTCCTGTAAATAATTCACCATTGTAGTTAGCATATTCCTTCACTTTAGGTCTGGGTTGCCATGGCATTACAAGGCAATTATGGAGGTTTTCTATGTTTTTTGTTTTATTTTAAACCAAGTGAATTTAAATCCCCTTTGACCCCTGAGCAGCACTAACTGGAGCTAGATCAAGCCAGAGTTGAGGATTTGAGTCTGGGTTTGTTAAACCTACTTATTGAAATGGGCATCTGGCTCTTCTGACTTTTGCGTCGTCTGTTTTCAGGAAGGCAACAGCTTCCTGGTGTTGGATGAACAGCGCTTCGCCAAGGAGATTCTCCCCAAGTTCTTCAAGCATAACAACATGGCCAGTTTCATCAGGCAGCTGAATATGTGTAAGACTTTCAGCCACATAGAAAAGGCGCCTCTCATCCACTGCTCCTCTGGTGCTGAACTGAATCATGCATCATCATAATTAGAGCCCGACCGATTTGAGATTTTGAAGACCAGTATCGACATTGGGGGCTTTTAAAAAACTATGTCCAACATATTGGCAGATATCCGCTTTATATCAGCCAGAATATAAAAAAATGAACATGACATAAAGCTGAAGCCTTTTAACACTAGGACTCCCAGAATGCTGATGCTACTAGAACTCCCACTGGCAGTCAGTTAAAAGAATGGCATTTTTCCTAATGGACTGCAAGAGTACTGTCATCATACTGGACAGAATTACTAGACGCAGCCAAAGTGTTGAGGGGATCATTTTGGTGGCCTTAGCATTGCATCTCTGTTATTTGCAGATGATGTGGTTCTGTTGGCTTCATTAGGACGTGATCTGCAGCTCTCACTGGAGCGGTTCACAGCCGACTGTGAAGCGGCCAGGATGAGGATCAGGGCCTCCAAATCCGAGATCATCTTGAGCCGGAACAGTTTAGAGTGCCTTCTCCGGGTTTGGGAGGATGTGCTGCCCCTAGTGGAGGAGTTTAAGTATCTTAGGGTCTTGTTCACGAATGAGAGGAAGATGGAGCAGGAGATCGATAGGCGGATTGCGCGGCGAAGCGTGAGCTGTAACGGTCTATTGTGGTGAACAGAGAGCTGAGCCAAAAAGCAAAGCTCTCCATTTACATGTCGATCTACGTTCCTACACTCATCTATGGTCATGAGCTTTGGGTCATGACCAAAACAACGAGATCCCTGATCCAAGCGGCTGAAATTAGTTTTCTCCCTAGTGTGTCTGGACTCTCCCTTAGAGATAGGATGAGGAGCTCAGTCATCCAGGGAGAGTAGAGCCGCTGCTCCTCCATATTGAGAGGAGCCAGTTGAGGTGGCTCCAGCATCTGGTTAGGATGCCTCCTGGACGACTCCCTGCTGAGGTCTTCCAGGTACATCCCACCGTGAGGAGGCCCAGGACACGCTGGAGGGACTATGTTTCTCTGCTGGCCTGGAAACACCTTGGTATTCTCTTGGAGGAGCTGGACTAAGTGGCTGTGGAGAGGGAGGTCTGGGCCTCCCTACTGAACCTGCTACCCCCACGACCCGACCCCGGATAAGAGGAGGATGGATGGATGGATGGATTGATGGATGGATGGATTGATTGATTGATTTCATTTAATCCTTGCCAAGCCCCTGCACCACAGTACGACACTGCTTTGATTTATGCTCTGGTCCATTCTATGCAGATGGATTCCGGAAAGTTCTGCACATCGACACAGGCCTGGTAAAGCAGGAAAGAGATGGACCCGTAGAGTTTCAGCACCCATACTTCAAGCATGGGCAGGACGATTTGCTGGAAAATATTAAGAGAAAGGTGAGTCTGTCTGGATAAGATACCAGCCTGTCTCTGTATGGAGTTATAATGTTCTCCCTTTCATTCCTGTGTTTATTGTGGGTATGAGGAGGAATTACCAATTTAGTGTCCGATCCCACAGAAAATGGTGTGGGACGAGGTGGTGGCGTTTAGCGCTCACTGAGAGCTGATGGGGATGATCACACCTGACAGGGTTTCCTCCAGGAGGCTTGGTTAGCTCTGACTGAGATAGAGTCCAGGTCTATTGTAGTCAGACTATGCAGCCATTCAGCAGCAATTCCCTGGGTCTGACAGGAAGAGAGACGCCGTTACAAAGTAAAACACTTTGGGGAAAATACTAAATCAAATCTGTTCATCAGTTTGGAGTCACACAGAGCGAATATAGCAGGAAGGACAGACTGGACAGAAACAATCAATGAAACATTTTAAAAAGCAGAATAGTGGACCTATAATAGGAGCTCAGGAGGACAGGAAATAGTTTTAACTTGTGTGGCACAGAGACAGAAGGTAAAATAGAAGTTCTGCTGCTAAAGTTCACCAGACAAGCTTCATGAGACCAGTGCTATGCCACAGGCTGTCTCCAGGCTGCAGCCATGCACTCTGCACCAGGCTGTCTAAGGTCTCCATGTATGTTGAGGCATATTATATCAGGCTAATGCTCACAGGAGCTGCTACTTTATTGGGTAAAAGACAGAGGAAAAGCCTTAAACGCCCCACAGACAGGTGAACAGCTGTTTTTCCCATCAGAAACCTTATTTCTTATCAACGTGATTCTTTTTCTTGCAAAGTTTATAATTAGCAGGAATAAAACAAAGAAGAGGAAAACACCTTTAGACGTCAGACTGTACATGGATACAGTGTCAGACTCAAACATGTACGACCTGACTTTAAAACTCCTATTGATGTTTTACTTCAATAGTCTCTCCTCCCACTGTTCTTCAATTAGTGGTCAACATAAAATCCACCTCCCATTTTCACTGTGAGGGATGTGATGTGTTCCAGGTTTCTAACGGCCGTCCTGAGGACCATAAGATCAGACAGGAGGACCTGACCAAGATCTTAGCGGGTGTCCAGAGTGTTCACAGCAAACAGGAGAACATCAACGTCAGACTGGGCACACTCAAGAGGTAAGGAGGCGCAGAAGAACCAGAAATAAAGCATTACAGCTTGTATTTCTGCCTAGCAACTGGTCCAGCCAGTCCAAGGATGACACATCACTGCCCTCTTTGGGCTGCACTGGCTTTAGGAAACAAGGTTGCAGTTACATTTGAGAAAAGATTTCGGAAATGTAATGATAAGAATTGTATGAAAAAATCTTACCTGAAAATTAAAATCCAAGCTAAAAGAAAATTTCTTAAGGAATATTTCTTAAGGTTAGATTCTCATTGGTGATGATCTAGAGCTTTGGTTGTTTAACCATCATTATTGATCCCTTTAAGCTCTACATCTAGTCATAAGGTTCTCCTAAACATGGCTACCGGTTTAAGAACATCTGTATCAATTCCTTCCTTTTCCAACCAAAGGGAGTTAGTGCTGCGTACTGGATACTGTCATGATCTGCATACCTTTCTGTTTAGGGAGAACGAGGCTCTGTGGAGGGAAATCTCAGATCTGAGACAGAAACATTCTCACCAACAACAGCTCATTAAAAAGGTGAGAAGTTTATCATCATGGATGGATCCCTTCAACATGGTTAGATGTCTCTGCTCTGCATCTCTGGGTTCCAGCATCTCTTAGCTGAGGAGGTCAGGAAAGGTTTGTCTGTTGGTGCATTGCTGAGATAGGACCCTCTGAGATAACTGGGGGGTTTCTAAAAGTTATTCTTAACAGACATGTAGATGAATGAAGGCTGCTGCAGTTCAGCTTTGTTCTCTTCCTATAAACAACTGGAGAACATCTGGTCATTTCACGCTGATGTTCCCAGTTTACCCACACTGGTTTTTTCACTTGCATTTTTCCTTTGATATGTTTTATACTGGAAATTATATTTTCCTTAGATCTTTACCCATGTAGTTCTCAGTGAGGTTCAGAGGAAACCATGGGACATATCGTCTGAAAAATAAGGCATCTGGATTTGGCACAGAGGAAGTCTTTAACATCCAAACAGTTTTAGCTTAAGCCTCAGTGTTAGCTAGTCTACTGCAGGGTCCTGGTGTGCTCCGGTTGGGGAAACCATCAGCTGACTGCTCACACACCTCCAGCTGATCTTAGTAGATTTATTTCACCTTAATTTCAATTCAGTTTATTTCTATGGCGCCAATTCACAACACATGTCATCCCAAGGCACTCCAGTTCACCAGATCATCCAGTCAGATTCATTCAGTTTTCTATCTAAGGAAAACCAGTTGATTGCATCGACTCAGCAATCCCTCGCACTAAGCATGCTTGTAGCGACAGTGGAGAGGAAAAACTCCCTTTGGACAAGAAGAAACCTCCAGTAGAACCAGGCTCAGTTTGAGCAGCCATCTGCTGAGGCCGACTGGGGTTCAAGGAGACAGAAGCAGACGTAGAAAAAGAAGCATAGATACAAAAGGCAACTGTAAAAGGCGGCCCCGTCCAGCAAACACACAGCCAGGCAGACGAGCTCCGAGCCAGCTCCCATGTCAGAGGATGAAGAGAGCACATCCAGTTAGTCACAGTCAGAGAAACAGGACTACACTGGAAAACAGGCCAATCTCCAACATCTATAAACAAAGGTGTTGATGGCAGCAGCTCAGCTGATATTTCTCTCCAGGATGGAGTCACAGCCAAACAGGAACAGACCAGATGAAGCTACTATGAGAAAAAGCAGAGAAAGCAGAACGTTAGAGATTGAACTAACAGATTCTGCAGAGTGGGAGAATAGAGATAGAATGAAGCAGAATGATGAAATGGGGATCTCTATGTCCTCCAGCAGTCTAAGCCTTTAGCAGCACAGATGGACAACCAAGAACTCATGATAACCTAAGTATTTAGGATGAGGTATAAAAAAGGTAGATCCACAGTGTTCACAGAATATTCATTGATTTCATTAGATGGATTCATTCCACACAGGTTGATGCTGACAAGCCTTCAGTTCTTCTACTGAAATATTCTAAAAAAGGATGAGAACATCACACCAGACCACTACGGGTTATTCCCAAATCTCCTAATAATCTGGCAAGCAAGCCTTAAACACCACCTGTCAGATCAGAGTGTGTAGAACTAGATGTTGCAGATGCTGCTGCTGAGCAATAACCAACTTATTTTCTTCTCTGTTTTGGTTTTTGGCAGCTGATACATTTCCTCATTACACTAGTACAGAGCAACCGTATTCTGAACCTGAAACGGAAAAGGTAAGCACCTCACACACACCAGCAGTGGTGTTTTCATGACTTATGGGGACAATTCATTGACTTGCATTATATGGCCTAACCCAGACCTTTACCCTAACTATTACCTGGGGCGAGTTACATATAGAGGAGCGAGATCATGAAGGGCTTTAAAAAGAAGCGTTAAAACTTTAAAACAAACTGGAAAACGGACCAGGAGCAAGTGCAGGGAGGAGAGGATGGGAGTGATGTGGCTTTGCCTGGATGAGCCAGAGAGGAAACCAACTGCTGCATTCTGTGCTAACTCTAACCGTTGACGACTGTGACAGGCCAGATTAGAGAGTGTTGCAGTAGTCCAACCGAGAACTAATAAATGCGTGAATCGCCTTCTCCAGGTCTTGCTGTGAGAGAAAGGGTTTCATTTCAGTCAAAAGGCGCAGCTGGAAAAGGCTGGCTTAGACAACAGCATTTATTTATTGTTTGAAGTTGAAGTCCCAGGTCCAAAAGGCGGCTATAGAGAGAGTGCGTGGCATGGGGCAGTATTAGGGAGCAGTGGTAAATATACCTGGACATCATTAGCATAAAATAGGAATGATAAGTTGTGTTTGGCAATGATGGACCCAAGTGACAGCATGTAAAGTGAAAACGGGTCCTGGCCAAGGATGGAACCCTGTGGCACCCCAGCTGATAGTGGGGCAGAGGAGGAGGAATAGTCATTGACCATCACAACAAAGCTCCGGTCACTCAGGTAGGACCTGAACCTCTGCAGGAGGAGCTCTGCGTCGTCCATGGTGTTGAATGCCGCAGTTGGATCCAGCATCATCAGCAGCGCTGGTTTCTTTGTATCCAAAGACAGCAGAATGTTGTTGTGAACTTTAAGTAGAGCTGATTCCGTACTGTGACAGAGGCCATATTTGGTATAGTAGCCTTTGTTTGCAGTTTCAGACGTCAAATGTTTCCTGTAGTTTTTCACCAGGTTTGCGGCCACTGCTGGAGGGATTTTGGCCTCCACACAGATATTCCTTTATATCAGTCAGGTTTGTGGGCCGTCGCTGACAAACATGGAGTATGAGCTCCCTCCAAAGATTCTTTATTGGGTTTAGGTCTGGAGACTGGCTAGGCCACGCCAGAACCTCGATCTGCTTCTTCCAGAGCCGCTCCTTGGTTATCCTGGCTGTGTGCTTCAGGTCATTGTGATGCTGGAAGACCCAGCCTCCACCCCTCTTTAATGCTCTAACTGAAGGAAGGAGCTTGTTCCCCAAAATCTGGCAATACATGGACCAAGTCATCCTCTCCTTAATACAGTGCAGTTGCCCTGTCCCATGTGTGGAAAACACCCCCAAACCATGATGTTCCCGCCCCCAGGCTTCACAGTAGGGATGGTGTTCTTGGGATGGTTCTCATCGTTCTTCCTCCTCCAAACAAGGTTATTGGAATTATGACCAAAAAGTTCTATTTTGGTCTCATCTGACCACATGACTTTCTACCATGACTCCTCTGGATCATCCAAATGGTCAATGGCAAACTTAACACGGGCCTTGACATGTGCTGAGACATTGTGCTCCATGCCACACAATTGATTTCAAAACCATGACATCTTAGTGTATTGCCAACAGTAACCATAGAAATTGTGATCCCAGATCTTTTCAGATCATTGACCAGCCCCTCCCATGTAGTTCTGGGCTGATTTCTCGCCTTTTTTTTAGCATCATTGAGACCCCAGCAGGTGAGATATTGCATGGAGCTCCACTCTGAGGAGATAGACAGTAATTTTTAGCTTCTTCCATTTTCTAACGATTGCTCCAACAGTGATCTTTTTTTCACCCAGCTGCTTGGTTATTTCCCCATAGCCCTTTCCAGCCTTCTGGACGTGTAAAAAGTAGCCTCTATTGTCTTTGGGCAGCTCTTTGGTGTTGGCCATGTTAGTTGTCTTTATGCAGCTAACAGCCTCTAACAGGTGCATCTAATTTAGGATAATGAATAAGGGTCAGAATTCTAGACGGGTGTTCAAATACTTAGTTATAAAAAAAAAAAATTGTGATTCCTGTGTTGCTTTTTAGATTATATCTCTCACAGTGGATAGCACCTAGGATGACCATTTCAGTGGGAGAACTTGCTAAATATCTTATTTTCCTCATGTATAAACCATTACAGGGTCAACCACCGTGAAGAAAACCTTCTATTTGCACTTATGTCCAAATGTATTTTTTTCAGATCAATTCTGATGGACAGTGAGAAGAAGGCCAAATACATCCATGAGATTTATGATGATCCGGTGCGCGTTGAACAGGTCAGTTTGTTTCTGCTCATGAGCACTGGAGACGTACAGGAGCGTCTGACCGCTGTAAGGACGTCACCTCTTGCTCTTCACACCAGAACCTTCTTAGCTGGAGCAGAGCTCTATAAGCTTACCGTGCAGGGAGCAGGACTGGAGTCAAAATGGGAGCAAACATCCAATAATATCTCCAGTAGTTTATTCTACTGATTCCATACTTTAAAGATGATTTATTCCTTAGACTGCCGCTCTTAAGGGTTTAAAGGAGCAACACGGGACAATGCCTGAGATATCACATTACAGGTTGTTATTGAATCTAGGGCTGCAACTAACAATCACCTTTCTAATCTATTAAGTGGTTTTACTTTCTATGCAAAATATCTATTATTATTATATATATATAAATTTTTTGATATATATATATTTTTTAGAATTTTGTTATAATTGCAGGTCTAAGGTTTTTAGAGTCTTTATTCTCCATTTAACAAATTAATGATTTACTGAATGAGTTAATTGAATAATCAGTCCGATAGATTTTTTTCAGCCCTATTTTAATATTAATTCTCAGTCACTGAATGAGTTTGCATAATTTTCCTACAGGACCGCAAAGTAGAAATGAGTCTAAGGAGAATTAGTTACTGGTGATGACACTGGGGCTGATCTGCAGCTCTTACTGATGCGTCCTCCTCAGGCCACAGACTTTAATGAGTGGAGGGATGATCACTGTCACGCTATCACAGGTCAAGATCAACATAAGCCTATATAATCATGTGACACGGGGAGTTCAGTCCTTATCATTTTCTCGTGCCACTTTTGTGGTAAGCGGTTCTATGGACGTGTTTCTATTTGTCTTTCCGCTTCCTGGATCAAGCTGCAAGGATCAGTCTATTCTACCCACAGATATCATCAGCATTGATGAGTCTGCTTTTTTTATTTACCTGACAGCTGAAGCCGGTGGCGTTTTCTGCATGTGCTGAGTTTAGTTGGCTCCTTGCCACAGCTGTGCGCTTTATTTTGTACATCGCTGGTGGCGTTTTCGCCTTTGCTGAGTTTGTTTTCTTTGGTTACGAGCTATGGGGCCAAAATGGTAGCTTTAATATTTGCAAATGTGTGTGGAGAGTTGTGTGTCTGTATCTC